TCCCGACGAGTTTTTGAAACATAAAATTCATCTACAACAGAATCTATATCTATCTTTTGAGCAAGTTCTCGTTCGATGAAGAGTTTATACATTCACCAAGAAAGTCATCCTCCATTCTGTTACGAAGATCCGTCTTCACGTGTTTCATTATTGAAAATGCTCACTCAGTAGTAGCAGTAGAAACAAGTAAAGTCAGTACAATAACAATTATTATGCCGACAAGACAACATTTCAACAAAACAACTTAGACAGGTAGGCGAAAACATTCAATTCAATATTTTGCCGGTAAGGCAATAAGCAGAGAGATTAGCATATTTACTTACTAGGGTGTATTCAAGCTTTTGCTTTTCCTACATGTCTGTGGAATTAATCCTGCTGACAATGAAGAAGCATTCCGCATTAGATTTTAGAAATAATTTTTTCTACATCAACAACCACAATCAATGAAGCCACAAATTTACTATTGAACCTCAATTGTTTACAACTAAACCACATAAACAAAAAAGTGCAAGTCATTGTAATAGTTTTACAGCCTATTTAAGGTAATTATATTCAAAACTTAACATCATAGCAATTAAACCAAGAAAAGATATATAAACACGGTAAGAACAGAGCAATGTAATGTTCATTAATTGAAGTTGAACATTGAGACAATGGAATTTATAAACACGAGAAATGTAATTTTCATTAATTGAACAATGGAATTAAATAAATTTCAGTCCTGAATATACAAAATGACAAAGAATGTAATAATAAATTTCAGTCATTAAATTTTGTTCTTATTCAAACTGTAATAATAATTGCCCAGAAAATGTTCAGAAATAAAAAAAATTCAAATTTAAAATTCATTCGGAAATATGAACTCCAAACCCCATAAATTCCATAAAAAAATCCCTAAAAAAATAGAATTCAAAAACCTAGTTCAAAAAAATGAATCTCAAGCCCAAATGAACATCATTCCACAATAGAATGTCAAAAATTTGGATTCAAATTAATCAAAAGAAATGTCAATCAAGAAAATAAGAAGAGATGGCAAAAATATAATTACCAATGGAGCATTGGGTCTCTGTGAGTAGTATAACTCATCATTCTTCAAGCTGGTGAACTTCTTGAGGGAAACTCTGAAAATAAGGGAAACTTCTTGAATTCAAACTTACATTTCAAGATTGATTCTGTTACATTTTGTTTGGGCTAAAAATCGGAATTGACTCTTCAATATTTTTTT